TGCATAAATATAAGACTTCAATATTTTTAAGATTGTTTAAAAAACTGTACCTTTAACTCTGTCTTGATAAGAACCTATTTAAACATCAAATAACATATTATATGTTGAATGATGGTGATCAGTGCTCGAATTGGGGGGGGGGGGGGCAGGGGGACGTAGCTCCTCTACTTTTTTTAAAATTTTTTTGCGCACCCCAACTACTTTTTTTTATTGGGACGGGAGGACGGTGGAAAATACCACCAATATTTTTAAATATTAGTATGATAATGAAATATGATTTATTAATAAATACTAAATAAAGTAATGAGTAAAAAAAAAAAAAAGGTCTTCAAAATACTAGGGACGCAGTTTTCAAATTGTTAAGTTGAGCTCCCCTACTTATTTTTGGCCATTTCGAGCACTGATGGTGATAACAAATTATAAATAATACTTTATAAATTGTTACAAGCCAATGATGAATTACATAAGCACATACATAGTAGCGCCCTCTATAGGTCTAAATAATTACTATAACTCATTTAAACTTTCGAAATATCAACAGTTTTAAATTTTTTCATTCATATAAATTGGTAAAAAAAACACATTAGCAACTTTAAAATCAAATGTCTGAACATGACTATCTTTGAATATTCTATTAATTTTTACAGCTGAGAAATGTTAAGCAATAATTCAATTGTAGATTTAAGAGATATTTTACTTTCAATTAACATTATTTAATTACTAAATAAACACTTATTATTGTTTCAGTTGCACAACAGACTTATCAAGAGCAGACTTATTAATGTGGGAAACAAATAATAAAAATAATATTTTAAGTTCATACAATCTCACCTAATCAATATTGAATACAAAGTTTCTAAGAACATAAATAAATGCCTTAATAATTTTATACAGTATTATTGTATTTTCAAATGATTAAAATAAAAATATTATTTATTAAATGACTTTTTTTATAATATGTTTTAAGGACAAAATAATAAAGCCCCACAACAATTTTTTTTTTTTATTGCCATTAATTCAAAATAATAACGAAAATCTAACTTACATTCCTGACCAAAGCTTATGAACAGTGTTGAATTCATACTAGGATAAATCCAAATAAAAATATATAGTATATATTATATAATTATATTAACAATTTTCTGAATGCATGTTAACAATACTATTGTGTATGGTTTGGTAATGAATTAGTTTCATCAATACTTCATTATTATTTTCAGAAAATCACAGGATATACTTACCGAATAATGAACTGTTTGTACATAATGCTTTTGACTTTGACAAAGAGTAATAATTTAAGACATCTGAAAATAAAAAATATTCATACCTCATTAGATCTACATCATATTAAAACTAAATTATTTTAGATAATATTGAATTAGCCAGAAAAATATGAATACAATTAATAATAATAATAATATAATACTTCAGTGGTCCTAAATTATATGAAAGATAATTAATGTTATATTTATAACATATTTTTACAATAATTGGGAGATTCAAAAAAAATTATTTTGACTAAAATTTAACTCATACATATAAATGTAAGATTATTTATTAATATAATATTTAGAAAAAGCACATTTAATGGTGAGCTTTAATTCCAAGCACTTTTTAATAATTTAAAGATTTAATGTATTCAATCATAATACTAATTTTAGTTTTACTTATTCTATAATGTATTACATAAAAGTTAAAAATTAAATTTATTTTGTGTATTGTTGACTAATAGCAAATATTAAGCAAAATGTACTGACACATTAACATTATTTAATTTTATCCAATACATATTTTACTGTATACTATCAACTCAAACTTTAAAAACTTGGATGAGAATTATAATGTATATGACATAATATACAAATAATTTATTTCCTTTACAATTTAAACATCTTCAAGAATTTAAAAACAAATATAAAAGTTTACATGAAAAAGATTTGTAATTAAAGGCAATGCGATTTATATTGATAATTTTTAATATGTCCGCTCATAATCTTCCTACCATATAAAGAAACCAATAATTATTTGAAATAGTAAGAAAATATTTACATTTTTCTAACAAACTAAAATTGTAATGAAATCTAGCTTTAATCTAAAATTTTAACCATGAAAACCTACATTTTGATAATCAAAATAAACCACTTTATTAAGTACTTTTTCAAGATTTTGTAAAATATTATAAGTGAAACCTGTAAGAGATTTTAATAAAAGGATAGTAACAATTATAAACTAAATATATATAATAAAACACCCATGATAATTGGACACCTGTATAATAAAAAACCCTTAATTAGGTCTTCCATTGGATATAACTCCCTCAACAGTTATTGTCAACTTTACCCTATGTATAGTGATTAAATTTGTGATTAATATATTGAATACATCATTGTATATAAACTTAATGATCGAAAAAAAAACATTTTTCGATATGTCACAGAAAGACAAGTAAAAATCAATAAATACTACACAGTAAGAACCATTTAGCTGGCTTTTTTACCTCTCCATCACATACATGGGTTGTCAGGGGGTAGAGGGTGTGCACACAGTAAAAAGTAGTAATTCTTACCTTAAATCCTTAAAATAGTCCCAAGTTCGTTAGATATCAACTAGTTCTGTTTATTAAAGACTAACATTAGATATTTAAGCGAATACGCTTAAGTTTAATAAAAATTAAGTCTAGGAAAGAGTCAATTATTCTGAAGGGTTGAAAAACCGATAGTTATGTTTACGATAAAGAACGGAAGGGACATAAGGGATACACATACATACTCAGATTTACACAACACAATCGGTATAAAAAACATGACTGCGGCGGCACCTGGTGGACTACGAAGAGATAACAAAGTTGATAAGCAACAGTGCAACCAATTTAATATAAAAATTAACAATATTGATTGTTAAAAGCATTATTTAACAGTACGTAAAACATTAAAGATAATATAAAAATTCAACAGTGAAACATAATATTATACAGTCATAGGCTAACTATGCCTCATGCAATATCTAAAAAAATATTAGATAAAATAGTTTTTATATTTTTCTGAAGTAATCCTACACAGCTAAATTAACGCAATAAAATCCTTTTTGAAAAATAGCTCTTATTGTAACAAAAATAATGAAATTACTCCACCCTTAAAAAAATATTTCTTTTGGACCCAAGATTAATATTAATATTAATATAAAGCAAATTAATATGATAGCAATATTAATTACTTTCAAGTAATATATTATTTGAAAGAAGTATTTTCTCCAAACAATATCTTATTATATTACAAATGTATTAGAATATGATGCATTTTTGAATCTACATGATTAGTAAAAATTATTTAAATGATTATATATAAAAAATACTACTATAGTTAAATAGTTATCAAGTAATACCTGAATTAAGACTAACATACAATACAGTAAGCTCAGGGCCGGATTTAGGGGAGGGCTGAGTGGGCTGCAGCCCAGGGGCCCCCACAAATTTGGTATACATTGGTATCACAAATATGATAATAATTGTTATTTAATAAGTAAATAATATATTTCCTTGTTTATGTATAAGGGGCCCCCACAATGCATTCCGCCCAGGGGCCACCACATACCTAAGTCCGCCCCTGAGTAAGCTAATTGAAGATATAAATTTCCAGGCGACGTTCAACTAGGCCCTTGTAGATGTTTAGTTCACCATAAAATTATAATTTTATTTTTATACATAGTAAATTATAATTACGCACTAATCATAGTTTAGTTTGACAATCTTTTATTACAAAAGGTTATGAGCAACTTTATATCTGACGTTATTATAACATCAGAGGCGTATTTAAAAAATAGTTATGCAGACGATACAAACAAATTTTCAATTTGGAAAATGGAAGCTACATAAAAACTGTTTAATAACTTAATTTGTTTAAATTTTAGAAAGAAACATGGATTTCTTTTATATTAGGTTTTCATAAAATTAAAAAAATATTTATTGTATCAACAATGTTAATTAAAAGCTCAAGATATTTATGTACATAGGTTTAACTAGAATAAAATTTTTGGGATTGCTAATTAAACTACCCCCTAATTTTTTCTTATAAAAATAAAGTGTTTTAAATTATTTGAATAGTTTACTCTGGAGGCCTAAGCTTCCTTAATTGTTCCTATATTCATATACTTCCTCAATTAACAAAATTGTGTTATCAAATTAACAATATTATTTTTATTTAATAATGAGTAAAAAATTATTTTTTGGCTATCGTAATTTGTGTTGAATCCAATGGGTCCGAACATTTTATTTTCAAAAACTTTCTTTTATATTAAAAAAATGACTATCCATAAAAAATATATTTCACGTGATAACTTAATGCTTGAAATTGTTAAACAAATGTTGTATTCTAAAGAAATGGATAAATTATGTAGGTATGTATTTTTGTACTTTTTAGCCCCATTAAGAGTCATAGCGACCTTCCCCAGAGGGGAAGTTTTCTTAATCACTGATATACTCCAGTACGGATGGTTGTTCGACGCCGAAGAGAGGGATGACAACGTCAATTACAAAACTGATCTCTTGCTTGGTAAATAAAGCCGCTCTTAAACGAGTTTCTATCCCGAGGCAGTGCACATCAAATACTGCCGCGTTACCGACTCTGGCGCATAGACCCTCATGTAGATATTTTCGATAAACCAAATTTAATTTCTTTTTAACATTAAAAAAATGTTTTATATTAAATCAAATATTGTTAAGATATGTTAATAATTTTACTCCATTAAAGAGAGAGATTATCAAAAATAAAATAAAAATTCTATAAATTTTTTTCAACATTTTGGCATTAGTTATCTAGATAACCATTACTAAAATGACAAGGACAGCTATCCTTGTTATCGACATTTCTTACATTAATATTACGCATGTGCTGACTCAAATTCGTTAATTATCAAATTCCGTGATTCATGATTCTTATCAAATCAATAATATGTTATATATTTACTACTCTATAATTGTGATTAGTTATTATCAACCAAAATAATTTAACGAGAAGACTAGTACAATTATGTATTGATTTATTTACATCGCTTTTGATTCAATAAATATGTTGACTATCCTTAATTAATTAGGAATTTAATTATAGCATTTGGAGAATCAAAATTTGATATTTGATATTTAAATTTTTTTTAATTTTTATTTCCTACATCCCTAGTTTTTTTTTTTAATTATAATTTATACATCATTAAATTGTATATTAACAGTTTGCATGATTGTACCGATATAATGACGAGAACTTTATATTTTTAATTTGAAATAAAAATCATTAATATGCCAGAACATCCTATCTTACATGTATTGGTCATTGGATTTCATCATAAAAGAGGATGTCAAGTAAGTTTTGTCTAATTAATTAATAACAAATCAAACATTTAATTTCATATTCATTTAAAACTTTAATTGTTTTAAATAATCGTTTTTCAATTAATTATTTAATTCTAATAAAAACATTAAAAAATTGTTATCTCTATTGAAGTAATTAACTATTGTATCATTAAGTATCTTTCCATACTTTTAATGAATCATAGTCATTTTATTGCATTTATACAATTTTTAATGCTTAGGTTGAGTATGCTTATCCACCATTTAAAGATGATACCACTGGAGAGCTTAATGAATGCCCAAATGATTGGAAACATTTACCTTCTTTAGCCTTGCCTGATGGATCTCACAACTTTGATGAAGACACATCATATTTTCATCTTCCAAGCTTGAAAAATCCTAATGAAACAATCTACGGAATTTCATGCTACAGACAAATTCCATTAGAGGTACTTTAGTATTTAAGAATCAATAAGTCTATTTTATCTTTGTACATAAGATTCATATGTTCTTTTATTTAGAAAATTATTAACCGAACCCCAGATATGACACGAAGCACAATTCAAAAGTCTGTTTGTGTTCTTAGCAAGTTACCATTATATGGACATATTCAAGTTAAAATGTCCCTAATTACTCATGCTTATTTTGAGGAAGGAGATTTTAGCAAAATCACACTCTTACACGATACATATCATCATCTTAATGCTTGTCTTTCTAGTATAGAAAACATCAGTACAAGCCCTCATTTATATGTAGGTATGTATAAAGAATCAATAGTATTAATAATAATATTAGAAAAAATAATAATTTTTATTTAATATTGATTTGATAATTTTATTAAATTTTAGGATTATCAGCAGTTGAATTAGTTACCAAGTTTAAACATAAAGTAGTTTTACTGTTTAAATTGTTACTTCTTGAACGCAAAGTATTATTTTTTTATTCACCAGTTCGTCCATTATGCTCTACAATTCTTACTTTATTGTCACTTCACCCAGGATTAATTGAAAGTGGTCTTAAAAAATCTGCTAGTATCAAGTAAATGTAATATTTTTTTATTAAAAATTTGTTTATTAAAGTAGAGTTTATTTTTTTTTTTAGACCAAAACAACCTAATATATCAACAGAAGATAAAGAAGAAGATATTTCTATTAGTTCTCAAAAAGTAAAAAATAATGGATCTAATAATATAGTTTCCGAAAAATCTTCTGTAATACATTATAATACAGAAGAAGATGTTGTAAATTTAAATAGCTTCACTTCTAACATTCCTCGAGATCCTAGTATTGATTCATTAAGTGAAGCTGCTATGCAATACAATATGATAAGCATTGCGCAGATTAACTCAGCAAATTGTGCTGTTCCTATGTCCATTTTCGATAACGTAATGTATTAAAGTTTATTTACTATTTTTAAAGAACATTTAAATATTACAGTAGAACTTCAATAAGAAGCTCAAGATAATGATATTTTTTCATCTTCTTATAATTTTAAAGTTACTAAGATTTAGGAAAAAATAGATTCAAAAGTGTTTAAAAGTTCTATGATAAAACTGAAAAATAAAATACTAGCGGTTCTGTTGTTTTAATTCTAATAAAATGTTTACGTTTTTTCTTAAAAGAAAACTATTTTTTAAATTTTATATGGATGTTCTTTAAATCTCATGGTGCCAATAAAACATATAACTGATATAATAACTTAATTTTAAAAATTTAGGGTAATATTTGTCAACCATATTCTTGTTTATCATACATGGATATTTTAACAGATGCTAGTGTTAGAGGCTATATGATTGGAGCGTCAAATATTTTGTTTAAACAAAAAAAGAATCTAGCTGATGTAATTGTTGAGGTAACTAAAAGTGTGCAAAAAAATTATTAAATTACTATTTTTAGCTTAAATTTTATTTAGATTGATGATGGTAAAGTGGAAATTGAAAATGTGGATCTTAAAAGAATTTTACATTTAACAACAGAGGATTTACGCTTTGCTGATTACTTAGTGAGGCATGTTGTTCAACCAGAGAAGGAAGATGTCTTTCTTGATGGAGTAGGTTGGGAAGGTGGTGATGAATGGATTAGAGCTCAATTTAAAGCATATTTACTATCATTATTAAGAACTTCTCTTCTAAATGGTTAGTATACTCATTAAAATAAAATATATTCATACAATTAGCTGAAACTTGAAAGATTATTTAAAAAATTTTTTACTTAAGTTAAGTTCTAATTACATTTTAATTTTCAAAAAATCCAATTCTATTGTTGTAATAAAAAAAGTGTCTTTTCACAAAGTTTATCTTTGAATCAAATAAAATTTTTAAAAAATTACTTTTCTATGTATAGATAATAATAATTATGAATTTTATTTCTTCCATTATTGTAGAAGGAGCTCCTGAATTAAATCATTTTAACCCTACTTTTATTTCTACTTGGCAACAAACAAAAAGTTATCAAATTTGGCTGAATGAAGACCACAAGGCAATTATAGCCATTGAACCTTGTCATCCGTTTGCAGGACAATTATCTGTAGCAGACATGAAACTTAGAATAAGCCAGTAATTCTTATTAATTTACTTGTTATTATTTTTATATTTATACAATTTTTTACAGGTCATTAGTCAAAAGACTATTAATTTGACAAATTATAAAATTGCTTATTATAATTGTTATTACATAATAATAAAAAATCACATCATTTTAGGAGATACAAAAGATAAAAAATTCATATTACTTATCATTTATAACTGTTTTGAATGTTCCATGTATCCATAAAATTAAAGACATTTTAAATAAATTTGGAAAAGATCTGTTAATTGTACTGAACATAGAGTGACTAAATTTCTTTGCATTTACCCTCAATTTAGGCTTTGGTTTTATGTATTTGTTCTTGAGAAATTTTTTGCTTATACATTATTCTTCCTACAAAAATGTTACTTTCCAAAAAAAATTGAAGTACAAAGTATAGTTTCAACAGTAATTTTATATATATAATCATAAATATTTATTTTACTTTTATTTACACATTGACGTCAGCACTCAACGTGTAAAGATATATCAAAACGTTTTTTTAATATAAATATTGATACTTGCCTTTAAGCAATGCTTGTGATGGGAGTAAAAAGTTTAGTGGTTTACAATTTATTAGTTATACAACAATACAGTTATACTAGTAATTTTTATTCTATAATATAAAATGATATTTCTTATTAAATAGTTATTGATATATATATATAGGCCAATTCTTTTAATGCTAGCCACTCCGGTTACTCTTAAATTAATAATTATATTGAGAAATTTGTTTATTTATCAGTTGTGAGCTTTGTTTTTAATTAGTTATCTTCATCTTTACTTTTGTAGTTTTCAAATTATTAGTTTTGTATTAATTTTTCATTAAATATATTTTAATTACTGCTGTTTTTCCACAAAACTAATAAAAAAAAAATTTTATTTCTTTAATGTAGTATTTAATTTGGTTTTGTATTATTAGTGAAAATTTTAATCTAATTTGAATGTTTTGCCCTATTTTTAGTACAATGCAAAGTAGTGAAAGTGGTAGAAAACTGAATCAAGCTGTTCAAAATACTAGTAGAGCTGTTGCAACCACAGGAAAAGCTGTTGGTAGGCACTTTAAAATTGAGTTTTAATTTCATTTAATATTTTTTTATGTAATTAAATTAATTAATCATCATAAATTATATAATTATTTATTTTTAGGTGGTGCTATTTCACAAGCTAAAGGGGCTGTGACCAATTGGTGGAGCAACTTAACAACAGCCCAAGATTTTGAAAATGAAGAAGTACAACCCCCTATTCAAAATGTTTAGATTACTATATAAAAATGTTTTATGTTATATATAAGTATGTATGTATTATATATAATTATACAAATTGTACTATGTGCAAAACTATACTATTATATATTTTAAAATTACAAAAATATCTTCAAACATTAATCATTTAAGAATTATAAATTTACATATTTGTGACATCATGTTTTTGTCAAAAAAATTTATTCTGCCTAGTTATTAAGAAAACTAAATTAATTGCATATTATTTCCATACAAGAAATGTATAATTAGATTCACTAACAAAATCTAGTCTAAAATTGAATCTGTAAGTATAATAGTTATTTTTTTACTATTTACATTGCTTTTAATTATCTTGATAATATTACCTATACCTTTTTGTATAAGTATTCAATTACTACATTTTAAACAATCAACAGATAATTATTTTAAAAACACTAAAATATAAAATATATATTTCATTCAATAATTAAAGATTTAGTAATGTATTTTGAGCATACTTTCTTATTTTATTAATTCTACTAAAATAAATTTTATTTTTAATAGAATTTATAAAATGTTTGAATTATTGATGTTTTTAGTGCTTTAAATATTGTTTTCTCTTTTATTCATCAAATTGCCTTTGATTTTATTAATAATGAATGATTAAGTGTGATTAATAGTATTTATTTTTTATTTAATACTATATAAATTATCAATCAAATATAAAGTTATCATTAAAAAAATCATAATAAAAATTATTTATATTTAACCAAAATTTATTTTTATGTGAATTAAAACTATTAACAAATAAAATGGAGAATTATAAATATGAGTACTATATATATATATTTCCTATAGTCGAATAAATGTTATCACTAATATTAATAACTTGAACTTGTGTAATAAATATATGTATATAATGTTATATAAATGTATAAGTGTTTATTTCAAAAATGTTTTAATTGTAATAAGCCTTTATTAGAGTACTGTACAACACTTGTCCCTCTTACAAAAAAATTTATTAATAACTTAAATAATTTTCAAAATAATAACTTTTTTGTTTATATAATATGATATGATTTAAAAAACCTTTTGTAATGTTTATAATAAACAGTAGTGTTAGAAATACAGTTCATAATTTTTCAAATGTATTGTTCATGTATAACATTTTTAAATAATGGTCATTACCATCATAAATTAATTTTAAAATTAGTTGTAAGTCATTAGTAATTATTGTTTTTTACTCTCAATATTTAATTTATAATAAATTCTAAAGTTCCATTTTTACTTTTAAATGCTATGTACAAGATGATTATCATTGACCACTTAATTGTTCAAACATAAATATAATATTGATAATTCTAATTTTGATTTCTTTTAATTACATGTTTTAGTCAATTTATCAACCATAGAGTTTTTCGTGTTCATTCCTTATGAATAATAAAGGTATTAACATTCATTTTTCAAATGGCTATATACATATTTATCTAGCTTACAAAATACAAAATTATCTAGTTAAGAAAATGACTTTTCAATTCAACTATTGGACATGCATTTCAGAAATTAATAACACATTTATACCAAGGCGAGAACAGGAATTCAGCTTGTAAATTTCTAATAATAAAAATAACAAAAATCTTGCCATTAAATTGTTAACTCTTTAATTACTAGTCCAATTTTGTTAAAAAGTCGTTCTAATCATTGAAAGAACAAGTCACTAAAAGAGGTGAATAATTAAATGTATCATATAATATTAATATTTATTTCTTGTTCAATAATAAACAAATCACTTTGTAAACATTTATAAATTTATGTAACTGTTTAATTGATATTTTAAATTTTGATTAATAAATATATACTTTATGTCTACATGATGATTATTTTCTCATCTCAATTTCTCTTAAAATAATATTTTTTTTAGTTTTTGTTAGTTATACGTGTAGTTCTATTTATCCTGTAGAACATTTTTTATGTTCATCCCTTATATATTATAATAATTTCAAATTTATTTTTTCAAAAAGTAACATACATAGTTAATTGGCTTGTAAAATAAAAAGTCATTTACAACTTTTGAACTATTAATGCAGAAATTATTAACAATTTAAATATTGACTGAAGATGATACTATTTTTATTACTAATTTCTTGATCTCACTCCTTCTGTCTATATTTAAATTGTTAATAACTTTTGAAATAATAGTTAAAAAGTTGTTGTCGACCAGTCATTTCTTAAATTAAATAACTCTATTATACAAGCCAATTATGTATGTTACTATTTGAGAAAATAAAGTTGAAACCTTTATAATGTATAAGGAATGAACATAAAAAATATTTTATGGCAGATAAATGGAGATACACATATGTAACTAACAAAAGCCAAAAAATAATAATTTTAAGAGAAATCGAGTGGCTTAAGTCAAAAAATCACTCTGAGTATTGCATACTAAATAAATACTTATTATTTTATTTGTACAAATATTTATTATTTTTTTTTTTTTGAAAATAAATATTAAAATTGTAGGCTTTCTGTTTGCAAATTCATACTCAGTTGTTGTAAAGATTAATTTATAAATTTATTATAAAAAACTTAGTTTTTTTAATTATATTGTTTTGCTGATAAATATTCTTATAAATATAAAAAAATTGTATACATATTGTGGTAAGGGGGTAGTGTTTTTATATATTTACAATACGTCTATTGTTTCCTCTACTGAAATGGAGATAAATAAAAACTTTATTATTCTTAAGGTGTTTATAAATTAGGAAACAAGCCAATTGTTATAGACAAAGGAAACTCTTCCTTACTAGATGAAGACTTTGTAAACTAATTGTTAGATTTTTTATATTCATAATATCATAATATAATCAATTTATTGGATTGCACCCTTCAGAAATACTAGTTCCAACTATTCTCCTTACTAGGTCTCCAATTATATCATTTATTCTTTAGTATAGTAAATTTTATCAATAGTGCTCTTTATCTACAACGTTACCTGGTATAAATTACAGAAGGTAATTTTTCGTGGTGCAATAACATTTTTTGTGATACATAAGAAAAAATATCAAATGACTTTAAAAATTTAAAATAGCGATATAGCCAAAACAGTTTTTTATGGGCAAAAGAGCTATCAAATATGCATAAAATATTCTCACCTCTAAAAAACCAACCCGAAAATTGTTTGGTTACTCCACAGATTAGCATATTCATTGTACAGTAAATAACATTGTGTAGAATTAGTTTATTGAATTATCAACATCCGCACAATAATTTTTTAGATTTAAAAATAATAATTAAATAAAATAATGTAGACATCCGCCACGGTTCTGGTCATTTCATGATACTTAGTACCCCGCAAATCCGCTATATCAAAGTCAGCAATCGCCTTTCTCATTAAAAGTAATAGATATTAAAATTTATAGTTTCTTTTAAAGTAATTAAAATATGTATATATTTTTATATGCGTTTTATTTTTTTATGATCGAGATCACCATTATTCGTGAAGATCTTTTTTTGCTTGTCACATTCAGGATTTAAAAACATTGAATCTTTCAGACAATATTATAATTACTATTCACTTTAAAACATGATTCTTTTTTGATATTGTACTTGATAAAAATTTTCATCGTGATACATTAACCATGTTTAAGTATAGTTACTCTGTATTTAAACTTTTGACATTTATTTTAAGATTTCACGTTATATTCGACATATATTAATGATTGTTATATATTATAAAATAATGTATATTTTCTATTCTGTTTGCATTTTTAACCGTTACATTATTAATAAATAAACAATTATATTTAATTATACATTAAAAATTAAAGACCAATAAATATTATTTAAAACAAACATAATAATTTTAATTGTGTTTATATAAGAATCATATTGAAAAATATCAGGCTGTGTTGTAGCTCTAGTTGTAAATTTGTATAGATTAAAAATAATTTTTTTATGTAATTGGCATAATTTTTGACATATAAACTAAATTATTATATAAAATTGACCAAGAATAATTTTATTAAGAAGTTTTCAACATATCTATTCGAAAAATTAGATCCCTCTCTTCAAATTTTGAATAATCAATATTATATACCTTGATAAACCACTACTAATGGTAGTTAGAAAAGTACTTAGTTATATAGGTATATAAAAATGTAATAATAATAATCATGTTAGTATAGCTGTAAATCCAAATAGTTGTATACTGTGTCTGTAGGCGAATGTCACTGATTTAATAAAAATAAATAAATTTAATTTCTTTATACACATATCATAACAAAATTCATTCATTACAGTCAAATGTAGTGTATTATACCACAATACTTATAATTGATCGATAGTGTTCACGAATTATAAAATATATTAATATTACAACATTATTTCTCTTATATTCAAATAGTTCAAAGTTATTAAAAAGTAAAAAATGAGGAAGTATGAATTGCAAACTTTTTCATCCAAACTATAGATGTTATAACTCAATAATTAACGAATATTATATTAAAGATAAAAATTATAACTAAATATACTAACACATTCTTTATTATTAAAATCGTGCACATAAGAGTGTAGCATCATACAAATAAAACGTTTAGATAATACCATTTTATTTAAATTATATTTTTAAAAAATTTTAAGCTTCCCATTTTAGAAAATGTGCTGGAAACCTCTAAAATTATATTCGCGAGAACATATTTATTTATTTTATTAATTAAAACAGTGGTGGTCAAATGTTTTGTCATTGAAGGTAATGTAAAACCTAATATCGTCATAGAAGCTATGTCCACATTTGAGTTTTTTTTTTATATTACTATATCAGATGTTATTAAGGACTATAAAATATGCACATTGTTGAATTTATCTATGTATAAATAATAATTAAGATTTAAAATTTAATTTTCCAAGTTTTTAATAAAATAGATATTTGAATAAATTTTGCAGTAAAATTTTTATTAAAGTTTTTATCTATTAATGGTTAACACAAAAAACAAATATATTAAAATTTTTATTTTTATTATATTAAAGAATTTTTTTACCAAAAAAACCATTTTAACAAATTTTTTGAAAAAAAAAATCGTTTAATTACACTTCTAGCAACCTATTTTTCAAATTAACAAGGTTTGAATACTTAAGTGAATTACTCTGTAAGAAAATTTAATAATGGATAACTCTAGTTTTTTAGTTGTTTAAATAATATTGTCCCAAGTGTTATGTATTTAACACTAACAAACGATTTGTTAAGTTTATAACAACACTAATAAAAATATAATAAACATTGATCGCTTGTGGCTAAAATTAAAAGTATAATAAAAATATTAATCTAAAAATTTTTAATTCAAAAAGCCACAAAAGAATTACTGAAAAAATGCGGGTATGTTTTCGGGACCAATATTACCATTATTCAAACAGATAATCACATACTTTTTAGTTTTAAATTAATATTTTTAATATAGATTTAATTTTTAATAAAAATATAATTTAGTGTAGGATAAATGAAGTTTACTTCCCTTAACGAAAAATTTTATTCTATTTTTGTCAATGAAAAGAAGTTGTTCAGATTTATAATTATAGGGCAATAAAATATTTGCTAGAATACTGTTAATAATAATATAAGTTTTCAACTTGAGTTTAAGAAAATGTAATTTTGTTATTTCAAATTTTTATTATGATAATTAATAATGTTATCAGATTTCTATTAAAATATAAGTTGTTGTGTATCTTTTATAACAATATTTTTGAGTCTGATTGCTCAGTTTTTGTAACCCACTCAATTTTATTCATAATATAGTTCCGTGAACTTAAAACCATAACATTGGGACAATAAATTGTGTAATATATATTCTGACTAATAAACACTAGATCGTTGTCATTAATATCTCCTTTAATAGATATAAAAGAAACTTATAATAAAAAGTAACCCAGAACAGTGGGGTCGCGGCATATTGGTCCCAGTATAGATGATATCTGACAGAGATTAAAATTACTATCTTAAATACTCTCCGATCCGAATCTGTAGACAGTGTTTAATTTTAAAAATTGGTGGATTATTCCAAAAGCAAGATGATCTCCTATTTCCTTATTTATATCCTGATTACAAGTTTTATTATTTATAAGTGTAATATATGAATAAATATTTATTATAGTAATTAAATATAATATGAAATAGATATATATATATTTTTTTTTTATTAGCTTTCAATACAAAGTATTATTATAGCTTAACAATTAAGTAAAATGAGAAAAGAAAAAATAAATAATAATAATAAAAAAAATATTACAATTGACCTTACATCTACAAAATTACAATAAAATTACAGTAAAAATCGTTAAATAAAAAAACCAGCTGAATGAATGAAAGAAATAACTAAAGAAATTACATCGAGAAAAGTTGAGTTAAGAATAGTGTAACAATTAATAGGAGAGATATTAAGATGAGATAAATTATTAAATAAAATAGAACGATTACTTTCAAATGCACAGCAGTCAAAAATTATATGAAGAAAGTCGCAAAGAACTTCATCGTCATGTTTGGGACAGAAAGGAGAATTGTTAAGGGACATTTTGTACGCATGAAAAGGAAGGCGATTATGACCAAGTCTTAGTCGAGAAAAGGATAATATATGGAACCGGGAGAGAGGAAGTTTATGGAGCCAAGGATGATTTGGAATAGTTGGTGTAATTGATTTGTGCCTAACTGCGATGAGAGAGAAAGGAGAAGACCAATATTCTTGCCATGCTAGAAATATCGTCTTATTAAGGGGTGAAACGAAGTCAGATGAAGGAATATTGAGGGTTGGCGACGGGTAATGAATTTGGTAAGTTTGGCTAAATGGTCAGCCTCCTCATTACCAAAAATACCCACATGACTA